TGTCTGGTGTTTGGATTCAGAGGATCCAGACGAAAATTCTACCTGTGACATGTGCTACCTGTGTGGCTTTTGGTAAACCACTTAATCCGGCTGTCCCCCAGCTGATCAACTGTAAAATGAAGGGTTGGACTGGATGGTGTCTTAGGTGCCTTCTGACTCTAGCTCAATGGTTTTATGGTTTATGATTCAATGATGCCAGGACCCAGGTTCAAATCCTGGCTTTGCAACTTAGTCCTTATGAGACCTGGGGTAAATGACTTAACCTCTCTGGGCCCGGATTTCTGCACCTGATAAGTTAGCAGATCGAACTAAGTGTATTCCATGGTTCTTTGAAGCTCTGAATTTGTGATCTCATTCCCTTCTCCCTCCAAAAACATACCCCAAGTCTTCTCTTTTCTGAGCTAAGCATTCTAAGGTCCTTTAACCAATTCCTATTTGATATGGATTCAAATCCATTTTGTCACAGTGGTCACTGTCCGGACGCTTTTCAATGTCCTCTCAAAGATGCAGCATTCAGAGCTGAATGCAGGACTCCAGATGATTCAGGTTGGGAAACTTTTATTTACCAAAGGAAATAAACTGTCTCAACACTGAGAAATCTAATCGAATATTCTTGATGCTGCTGTGGGGACCAGGCTGAAGATGTGTGTATTCGACAGCCAGCACATAGCTATTTGATTTCTTGGAACTCTGAATTGCCATGGATTTTTTGGAAGTCATACTTTCTGATACATGCTATCCCTCTAAGAATTCCTGTAAGTATAGTTATTCACTAAATAGGCAGCTAGGTGAAGCAGTGGATAGAGCACCAGGCCTGGAGTCAGGAAGACTCATCCTCCTGAGTTCAAATCTGGCTTCAGACATTTAATAGCTGTGTGACCCTGGGTAAGTCACTTAACCTCAGTTTCCTCATCTGTCAAATGAGCTGTAAAATGCTAAGCCACCCTAGTATATTTGCCAAGAAAATCCCAAATGGGGTCACAAAGAGTTGGGCATGACTGAAAAATGGTTAAACATGAACATATTCACTAACTACAGTTGCTGAGTAAACAGTTGGAAAGGGCCTTAGAACACAGAATGTCGGGACTAGGAGAGACTTTAGAACAGAGAATGTCATGACTGAGAGCAGCCTTACAAGAGAAAGAATGTCAAAGCTGGGAGGACCCCTACAAAAATGGATATCAGAGAAGGAATGGACTTTAGAACATAAAATATCAGAGCAGGAAAGGACCCATAGAACATTGAATGCCACATAGGTTAATGATTTGTCCATTACCACAAAGCTCTCAAGAGGCATAAGTAGAATTGAACTCAGATCTCCCTGATTCCAAGGCCAGCTCTCTATCGCTGGCCTCTCCCTAGCTCCAGATGACTAAGGATGCTACCTCCCTGGCAACACATTCACTCCCTGACTGCATTCATGTGTGTGCATTCAGGTGACTTCCTGATTATCTGTGATGTGTTGTCAAACAACACCAGGTTTCTAAATGAGAGCAGACTGCTTATTAAATACATGTAAGGAGTCCAATCAAAAACACAATTGCATTTTCAAACTGGGAATCCACCTTCCTCACTCTGAAATCCAAACTCTTGTGTAGTGTAGAATGCTAAACTCAGTCTCTGGGTTCCAATCTTACTTCTGGTGCTCATTAATGTTGTGACCATGGGCAAATCACTTAATGTCTCTGAGCCTCATTAATAAAATGGGGATTTTATAGTTTTCCTGGGTTAGATAAGACTCAAAAGAGATAATACTTACAAAGAGTTTCACAAACAATTATGCCCTAGATAAGTATCAGGAATTCCAATCTGGATGTGACTTCTCTTAGCTCTGGCTAGATGACTAGCTCATAGACATCATATACATAGTTTTATCATACTGGTCAGGAAGTTACATAAGATCTGTATCTTCTGTGGGGATATGCTTTCTATAGCTAGACTAAGTGGTTTCCTGGAGACCCGCCCATAAAATTCTCATTGCAATATGTCCAGTCATCCTTACTACTTTTATTTTGAGAGCACAGTTTGTGTACCTTGCTTTGGAAGATGTGAGTGGACTTTACCAAGCCTACAGAAAGCCACTAACTGCAGGGGAGGGCTACTCTGACTTCTCAGTAATAGAAGCCTTTTAAATACCTTCTGTCCATTTACCTCAACTTCAAAAAATGCCCTCAGAGCAAGAATCCCAAACTCCATGTAGTTGTAGTGGACTGCTGGACAGCACCAGTCCCTGTCCATGGTCCTGACCAATTTATTAGCTTAACTCTGACCAGACCTTGGTATTCATAATTTCTCTGCGGAACACCCTCAGCCCTGAGTGCTGTCTCACACCCTCATGGCTTGTGAACCCATTAGCATTCAGTGTTAAGGAATTCCCCACAACTCAGTGTGGCACAGATAATGCTTCCCTATAAGGGAGGGAGTCTCGGAGCAGGAAAGGTCTGGGATGTAGAAAACACAGCAAGTCTCTTGGGTCCTGGAGGGCCATCACACTACTACCTCATTATAGAATCCCCAACCTCCACCCCTTTAGCAACATCTCACTGTTTAGCATTTCAAAACAAGCTTTTGTTTAGAATTTCTCTTCCTGGGTCTTTGGTGGCTTCATTTACTGAATCAATTCCTGATGGCTCCCACCATGTGGAACAGGTTGGTGGGAACCTCCTGCAGTTAATAGGAGTAAATGTTTAATCCAACAAGGGCTGATCAACTGGTTATTGCTTTTCTAAAGGAGCTGAATTTGAAGTTGAAGGAAAGGGAATTGGAGAAGAGGAAATCCCTTCTCTGAGATTCAATTTTCTTCTCTGTAAAAAGGAGTTTCAATGTTGACATCGTATTAAGTGCATGATTCTAAAGTCCTTCCCAGCTCTTGACATTCTCTGTTCCCAGGCCTTCCCCAAACACTTGTGTCCTCTGTTCTAAGCTCCCTCCAAGCTCTGACAGTCTCTATTCTAAGGCCCCTCCCAGCTCTAAATCCCATGATCTTCTGCCCTATGATTCTGAGACATAGAATTCCCTATGGGAATTCTGGAAAAGCACTTTGCTCTATGACATTAGCCAAGGCCATTTTTCCTTGCCGCAAGAGATTGTGTGCCTATACAGATTCACAGCACTTTAGAGTCAGAAGGGAAAGCAGAGGACTTCTAAAGGCAACCTCTACCTGAACAAAAATCTTCTCTCCAACCTGCCCCAGAAGTAGTCATCCCCTGACTTCCATTTTAAGATCTCCAGTGAGGAAGGGAGTGGATGCCTCAGTCCCCAAGGCAGCCCATCCCATTTGGGGACAGTTTTTATTGTTGGAAACTTGCAACTTTACAACATCACTCCAAGTTCTACCCTTTGGGGCTGAACACATCTCCTGAACTAATTTCCTTCTCATATGATAACCCTTCAAATACTTATTCAGAGCTCCTATGTGTCCACATGAAGCTTTCTCTCCTCTAGGCTACACATTTTCCTTTAATTGATCCTTATGTGGCCAGACCTTAGGCTCTCCACCATGTCTCTCACAAAATGTGGCTGTCAGAATAGAACACAATACACTATATTTGCTCTGTCTCAGGACTCAGGACAGCAGGACTATTCTCTCCCCAGGGGTGGACTAGCTTCTCTTAATGGATCTTAATGGATCATAAGATTACATTTGCTTCCTTGGCTTTCATCTTCAGCAATAAGCATTTCCAAGTCTCTACCTTAACCCCTACTATGGTCTTTCCTCTGAGACAGCTTTTGCATTTGCACCATGTACATTGTGTACGTACATAGTTGTTTGCATGTTTCCATTAGAATCTGAGCTCCTCAAAGTCACATTTTTGCCTTTCTTTGTATCTCCAGTGCTTAGCACAGTGCCTGGCATATTGTGAATGTTCAATAGATGTTTGTTGACTGACTGATTAACCACATTGCTGACTCAGACTGAGCTTGCAGTCCACTCCCAGTTCTTTTTCAGGCAAGATTTTTTTTGGCCCTGCCTAACCCATAATTGCCTTCAGAAGATTTGGAGGAGGAAAAATTGGAGGCATAGGCAATTTTGTGGTCTGCTAGATGCACTTTATGTTGACTAAATTCCTGGTAAGTTATTATTTGGCCCTAGGAAGAGTATGAATTTGTTTTGAGTAGTTTTCTTCCTTCTCCTGTCTAGGCTGTGTGTCTCCTACCTGGCTGGTTGGAACTTATTTACTACTTCAATCATCTCTTCTATGTAATACTTTGAGTAGATCTTTGGAAAGGGAATCCATATTCTATTACTTGTATTAAGCACCAAAATCTTCAGTTTCAGTATCCTCAGGCTATTTCCCAGGGATATAGAATGACCTTGAACCCAAAAGAGGTAGCAGGAGTGAATCAACTGTTTTTCATTTCTCTCTAAAAGTGGCTTTGTACCACCCACCCCACCTTGACCCCCAAATATTATAATCAACACTTTTGATTTAGCCCAGTGTTATGGCTAGAGGACAGCATTTAGAGTCAGAAGTCCTGGGTTCAAGTCTTGGTTCTTATTTAATACATTTGTGACCATGAGCCAGTCATTTAACCTTTCTGTGCCTCAGTTTCCTCATCTGCAAAATGAAGGCTTTGGACTAGAGGGCTTCTAAGGCCACTTCTGGTTGTAAATTTAAAGAGTATTGAACTTGTAGTCACAGGACCTGAGTTTGAAATCTGACTCTGCCACTGAATAACCTTGGACAAGTCACTCAGCCTCTTTGTGACTCAGTTTTTCCTTTGTAAAATGATGGGATTGGAGTAGATGACCTCCAAGCTCTTTTCCAACTCTAGGACTATAGGCTTGTGATTTGGTGGCCCTGTGTAAACAGGGTTGAAAGCAGCTTATGGCTACCCCTCCTAGTAGCCTGTAGGTTCACCAATTTTCCAAAAGTGGGACTGAACTGCCCAAAATATAGGGTTGGCTCTTTCCAAATATCCCACCCAACATCATTCCAAGAGGCTGTAGAGCAAAGTTCCCAGAGCCCATAGGGATCCAGTCGGTAAACATGACTCACAGACACAGTGCGGAAGGCGGGATGTCCAGATGGGTGTTCCTGTCTCTCGGCTGTAGCAGGTCAGAAGGGAACTTCCTTCAAGAACAAAGCCGGCATTGCAGGTGTATTGGATGGTTGTTCCAACAAGGAGCACAGGATCCGAAATCAAACGAGTTGAATGGTCCACTTCTCCAGGGTCGGTGCAGTACATAACTGACAAGAAAAACCACAGACACACAGGTTCTCCAGTGCATTATCACCCAATTCAGTTGGATTCAATTTGTTTTTGGAAACACTTAGCAAGCATCTACTATTCACCAGGAACTGCACTACATGTTGCAAGACAAAAATGAAATGTTTCTTGCCCTCAAGGAGATTACATCTCACTGAATGTATTGTATAGGGTCTTTTAATACTAGAGGGGGGAAAATAAGTGGATTTTTAAAGGACAGGAGGAATTTTTGGCATTTAGTGCTTTTTGAGATATTTTAATCAGATTTTGGGTGAATTTTTATCCCCATGTAAAATCTCAATTTGCCCTCTCCTCTCCTCTCCCCTTCCTTCCTCTCCTCTCCTCTCCCCTTCCTTCCTCTCCTCTCCTCTCTTCCCTTCTCTCCTCTCCTTTACTTTCCTCCCCTCCCCTCCCCTCCTTTTCTTTTCTTTGTCTCTGCTTCCGTCTCTGTTTCTCTGTCTCTCTCTTTCCTCCCAGCTAAATATAGAACAGGGTTAGGAGAAAGTAATAGACTATATGGGTCCTTAGGGTCCCTAAGTATTTGTTTTTCTCAGGCACTTTCATCAAAGTAATTTTATAAGTAAATCTCTGAGCTATAATTAAGGAAAGTTGATTGGGGCCTTGGTGCAGGGTGTTGAAATCTAGTATTGATAATAATATCATCCTAAGGAATACTTCTTTCTCTGGGTCCCTGGGTCCTTCTCCTCCTCAGGGGCATCCAGACCTTCAGCAATGTTCAAACCTCTTGATGTTCCTCTCCATGGTGGTCATACCCCACACGAGTTCCCTTCCCCCCATCCCTAGCCTACTGTCCTGTCCTACTCTTACCTCAAGCATGAAAATTCTTAGTTATAATTCTGGTATATCTGATTTTTCCAGGGAAAAAATCTCAAAGTTGCCTGGTTTTGACATATACACATATGCTCAAGAATTAGATTAGTAACATGTCCTATTTATATTCACATGTGAGGTAGTGTTGTATAGTGATGAGAGAGCCAGACTTGGGGTTAGAAAAGACCTGAGTTGTTGTCTTGCCTCTGACACATATTGGTTATGTGACCCTGGGCAAGTCATTTGACATCTCTCTACATCTTCTATTTCTCCCTGAAATGAGAAGTTCCAGATAAATGATTGATCTTGAACAATAGAGGAAGTTTATAGACCATGTGCTTCCTACACTGATGAAATCACTGATGAGTCTAGACAAAAAATATCAGAAATACTTGCACAAACATGCACATGTATGTCAGTAATGGTCAAATGAAGACTCACAAAAGACATGATACTATTTCTTTTCCTTGCTAAGTTAGAGCAGGCTGGTGGTGGGGAGCACAGGGCTGGATTTTTTTATATTTATATTTATATATACACATATGTATGTTTATCTATATATATGTGCATATACAAATATATTATACATATGCCTCTATGTACATATACATATATACTATATAATCAAGATATAGTCAGTAATATCTATTCATATTTAAGGAGAGATCTTGTTACAATTTTTTGTCATGCTAATGAAAATGGTAAAAATATTCTTACAGGTGTTCTAGTTTTCCTAGATTTTAGGTAAATTGGGCCTATTAAATGTCTCTGGCGGCGGATGCCAAATGCATTCTATTCAGAAAACCAAAAGCTTCTGAGAAAATGGCACAGAGTTTGATTTTCCTCCTACTAGTTAGGCAACCAATCAATAAATATTTGTTAAGTATTATGTGTCTATATGCTAGACAATCCCTTCTCTACCCCTTCCAATGGCCAATTGGTGCACATCTTTGCATTCTGTCTCAGCATCTGGGCTTCTGGGGAGGGGGAGAGGAGAGAAGAGGGCAGAGAGAGAGGAAGAGGGAGAGGGAGGGGAGGGGAGAGGGAGAGAAGGAGACAGAGGGGGGTAAGAGAGAGAGAGAGAGAGAGAAGAGAAGAGAAAAAGGAGAGAAAAAGGAGAGAAGAGGAGCAAAAGAGAGACACAGAGAGAAAGAGGGAGAGTGATAGATAGTGACAGATATTAGCTCAACATAAAGATGAATGTTCTAATAAAGAGCTATCCAAAAGCACAATGGGCTGCCTTGATAAGTAGAGAGCTCCCTCTCATTGTAGACTTTCAAGCATTAAGTTGGATGACTGCTTGTAGAGGTTGGTGTAGAAGGGATTCCTGTTCAACCATGGGTTAGAATTGATGACCTCAGGGGTCTCTTCCAACTCTAATTCCATGACAACATGTGATGTTCTACACAGGAAGCTAAAAAGTGTCCTTTCTATTTTGTCTTCCTGCTCAGCCTCAGGAACCCAAGGATTCATTAGTGTACCACTTGGGGTCACATCAAGATAATTTGAGTGCACCATCACTAAACTAATTTTACTATATCTAGATCCTCAAACTCCATTAGAGGGTCTAGCTACAACCAGCCCCATTATTGACCCAGGGGAAAACCTGAGATTTGTCTTACTTTTCTCACAAAATGGTGGATCACTGCTCCACGTCAGGTCCCACTGGCAAGTAAGGGTGTCACTGCCCACGATATCATAGCCAGGGTCACATTGGTAGGTGATCTTTGCCCCTCTCACCAGCTCTGTGTGAGATGTGGTTTTCCAGCCATTCTGAATCTCAGGCAGATCTGAGCAGGAGTCATTCCTTGACACCTCTTTAAGAGAAAGACACAAATAATTAACTTCAACCAGATATATGCCTCATTTAATAATGATGTTAATAAAAGCTGACATTTGTATAGCACTCTAAGGCTTGTAAAATACTTCAAAGTGCTATCACATTGGAACGTCACCAAAATCCTCATGAAGCCAGCACTATTGGTATCATTATCTCCATTTGTTCTTCCAATGTTTCCTTGTATTTGCTTTGTATGGGTGTTGGCAATGCCTATGCATGTGCACTGTTATCTTCTTCAATAGAATGCAAGCTCCTTGGGGGCTGAGACTGTTTCACTTTTGTCATTGCATCTCCCCTGCCTAGCATACTATCTGGAACACTGTAGCCCCTTAATAAATGTTTATTGATTAACTAAATTGATTAGGGCAATTGACACTCAGAGAGGTTAAGTGACTTGCCCATGATCATACAACTAGTAAAAATCAGAGGCAGGATTTCCTCCCCTGGATTGGGGAATCCAGAGAAATTAGAGGAAGGAGGATAGATCACATATCTGGAGACTGAAGGGACCTTAGAGACTAATCCTTACATTTTACAGATGAAGAGACCAAGGTCTCTTCTTTTTTCCCTATGTTTTTTTCCAGTGCCTTTATTTCTCTCTCCTTGTTCCTTGGTCTCTGTCCTTCCCCTCACCCTTTCTCTCTCTGTCTCTATCTCTGTCTCTTTCTGTCTCTGTCTCTCTGTCTCTTTCCTTCTCCTCTTACTCCTCTTTCCTTTCTCTGCCTGTACCTGTGTGAATCTTTCTGTCCCTGAGTCTCTATTTCTTCCCTTAAATACAATGCTATTTTGGAAATGAATGGAAGATCATTCACACAGTGAGTAAAACTTAGAGGTGGAATTTGAACCTCTCTTCCAGTTCTCAGAAATAGCTATTCTTTTTCTCTCTCAAGTACCCTCGAAGTTTCAACAGTGCAATTTCAATAGTGTTATTATACCTTTCTTCCATTCTATGCCATATGCCTTCATTTATTTAACAATTATTAAGTCGATGTGGCATCATAAAACTACTAGGTAATATTTATACAGTCCTTTAAGGTTTGCAAAGCACTTTACAAACATCTCATTTTCTCCTTACAATAAGCCTGCAAGGTAGATGCTATTTTTATTTACATTTTACAGAGAGTTAAGTGACTTGGCCAGGGTCATATAGCTAGTAAGTAACTGATGTCAGATTTGAATTCAGGTCTTCCTGACTCCAGGTCCAGTTCTCTATCCTTTGTACCTCTTAATTCCTCTCTCTATTTTAGGTGTACATGTTGCTTCTCCCTATAGAGTTTAAACACCTTGAGGGCCAGGGCTACTTTTGCTTTTTCTTCATATCCTCATTTCTTAACTTAGTGTCTGGCCCATAATAGATGCTTAATAAATTCTTGCTGACTAATTGATTGAATGAATTGAACTGAATCTTCAGTACTCTAAGGAATCTATGATCTCATTGATTTAGAAATTTCCTCCAAGTCTGCAGGTCACAAGCCATCCATGCTTTCCCACACTGTAGAAATCTCCTACATATTTTCCTACTAGTTTCTTAGGAGTATGTAGATGTGTTAGGGAGGTCCTCAAATTTTCTTGACAAAACATGGATGCCAATAGAACATGAAGGCTATCCATCGGTCGTTCTTCACGTTAGCTGCAGGATTAGTTTCTTGTTTTTCTGGTCATGTTTTTTTATATCAATGTTCATAATAATTCTCCTGGGTGATCTCTTATCTATAATGTATCACAGCCCTTCCAGTTGCAAATTTTATAGCACTGTATAAATCTGAGTTGTTATTATCAATGTTATTGTTTCCAAACATGCTGCCTGAAATAGAACTCAATCTTCCTCGTGTGGTGGTCTGACCAGAGCTGAGAAAAGGGAAACTAGGGCCTTCTGGCAACTGGATGTCAGTCTTCTTAGTCCATTGGCATCATATAGACAACTAGGTGGGTAGAGGCTAGGGAACTAGATCTGGAGTCAGATAGGTTGTTGTTGTTATTATTGTTGAGTTTTTTCAGTTGTGTCTGACTCTTTGTGACCCCATTTGGGGTTTTCTTGGCAAAGATACTGGAGCAACTTGCATTTCCTTTTCCAGCTCATTTGACAGATGAGGAAACTGAGGCAGACATTGTTAAGCCAGATTTGAACTCAGGAAGATGAATCTTCCTGACTTCAGGCCTGATGCTCTATCCACTATGCCACCTAGCTGCCCTGGCCTAAATTCAAACCTGGTCTCAGACATTTATTGGCTGTGTGACCTTGGGCAAGTCACATAACCTCTGTTTGCCTCATTTTCTTCACCTGAAAAATGGGGATAATAATTGTACCTTACTCCCAGAATTGTTATGAGGATACAATCCTAGTTACTATTGTTATTACTGTTATTAGTAGTAGTGGATAGAGTGCTGTCCCTCAAATAAGGAAGATGTGACTTTGAAACCCACTTTAGATTCTTATTAACTTTGTGATCTTAGGCAAGTCACTTAACCCCTCTATTCCTCAGTTTTTCCTTTATAAAACAAGGCGGTTGGTTTTAGCAGTGGCCTCTGAGGTCCCTTCCAGTTTCAAATCTATGATCTTATCCTCTGGCTACTATGAATTCCATTAGATTTCATTTGAAATGTTTTCTTGATTCATAATGGAGTCCCTTGAGTTGAGCTACTTATTCTCTTATTGGTGCCACTCCTACCTTCCCACACCCCCACCCCCTGTCTTGTCATGTAAGTAACAATCCCATGTTCTAGCATGACTATCCTGCTCTGAAATGCCCACCACACAGCTTCAGGAAGGAGAGCTAATTATGTCATGTAATTAATTTGCCATCCTTATGTGCTTCAGGGGAGACAGGGAGAGCATAATGCCTTGGCTTATTTGCTGGGTAATTCTAAGAAAAAAGCAATGTCTTTTCCTGGGATTTCATCACAGTTTTAACTGGGAAAAAGCAATCTCTTGAGTGTCTGAGAAGAGAAGGGACAGGAAAATGAATTCTAAAATGACTTGATGGGGAATGAAACCCTATTTTTATTCCTCTTAAAAACTCCAAGAGAGCTCTGAATTGGAGGTTGTAAAGTGCTCACTGTCTGAGTGAAAATAGTGGAACAATTCAGTTAGATATCTGGGATGGCCTGGATCCTGGATCTGGCTCACTCACCAATAAGCTACATGACAGTGGGTGAGTCAGTTCCATTCTCTGGACCACAACTTCTCCATTTGGGATAAAGGGAGGGGCATTAAGGTATGATGGGAAGAGCCCTGAATCTAGGGTCCAAAGACCTGGGTTTTAATCCTAGCTCCAGTATTTAATACTTATGTGACCTCAGGCACAGAGTTGTAACTAGGGCACTGTAGTTGTCCCCAGAGAGCTAAATTTAGATAGTACTGAGGGTCCTTTCAGTCTTTCAGCAGGAAGAAATAATAGAGTTAGTGAGAATATTTAGTTCAAATAGATCTATAGGCACAGACCAAGGGGACTTCTCCTTAGCTTAGCTCACTTTGCTTTCTAGTAGTATCTCTTCTTGGGCAATCAGCCTCTCCAGGACTCACTTTCCTCCTCTGTAAAATGAAGGGCAGCTAGGTGGCGCTGCAGTGGATAGAGCATCAGGCCTGGAGTCAGGAAGACCTGAGTTTGAATATGGCCTCAGACATTTACTAGTTGTGTGACCCTGAGGAAGTCACTTAACCCTGTTTGCCTCAGTTTCCTTATCTGTAAAATGAGCTGGAGAAGGAAATGGCAAACTGCTCCAGTATCTTGGCCAAGAAAACTCCAAATGGGGTCATGAAGAATTGGACATGACTGAATAACAAGTATGGTATAGTGGACCTAGAGCCACAAATACCCGGGTTTGAATTTTACTGTTGACATTTACTAGCTGTGTGACTCTGGGGACGTTATTTAAACTCACTGGGACTCATGAATTTCCTCATTAATAAAATGAGGATGACTGGATTGTTCCTCAGGCCCTTTCCAGTTCTAAATCAATAATCTTGAATTTATGACCTCTAAAGTCTAAATCTGGGATCCTCTGAAAAGTCTCCCAACTCCTTTTTGGAGCTATATTTCAGGTGTTTGGAAAAGGCAAAGATTTCATACAAAAGTGCATCCTCTCCAAAACCCACCAAGCCTCAGGAAATCTGCTTGGTGTTGGCCTTGGGAGGTGACCCTTGACCCGGGCTTTCTCAAGAGTCTAACAAACCTCACTGGTGGTCAGTTGGAAGGGTCTACTTTGGAATCTCAGAGAGATCTCAGGTGGTATCAAGCCCAGGGCATAGCCTCTCCTCCCAGTGCCTGGGAGGAGCCTTGCATCAGGGTTCCCAAGGTCAGGCAGGAATACTTGGCGGTTTACTTTGAGGGAGAAGAGCCTTCTGGCATGGAGTTGTTCCCCAGAGACATTCTTGCCCTTCTGGGTCCCTCTTCTTTCTGTGCTTTTTTCTCTGTCTTAGCATATGCATTTGCTCTTGCTGATCTGGCCAAACAATTTCTTTCTGTAGGCTGGGGCTTGACAATGGCTGAGAATTTACAAAGTCCCAGAGAATTTACTTTTGCTTAAAGGATATTTTGAATAGGCCCCCAAAGTATTAAGCTATCAAATAATAACAATAGTTCATTGTCTTTTGTCTTTCTTTGCATTCTCAGTGCTTAGTATAGTGACTAACACATAGTAGGACTTGTATGTACCTGGTTATTTCCATGGCCTCCCCCATTAGACTGTGATCTCCTCAAGGGTAGGGGCTGTCTTTACCTTTCTTTGTAACCTCAGCACTTGGCACAGTGTCTGGAGCATAGTAGGCACTTAATAAATGCTTGTTAACTGAATGACTGACATTTAGCTAGTACTTTTAGGGTTACAGAATATTCTCTTCACAACCTGTCATCATGAGAAGATGGGAGGGGAAATACTTTCCTCTTTACACCACTTTTCAGATGAGGAAGTTGAGGCTCAAAAATCACATGATCAGATCCACCCAGGTTCACAAAACAAGTTTCATAGCTGAGATTTGAACCCAGATCTGTTGACTCCAAGTCAAACACTGTGTCCTCTAGGCCAGACTGCCTCCCTTTGGAAAATGCTGTGTGGATTCTCCCTCCCTCCTTTCCTTCTTTCCTTCCTGCTTTTCCTCTTCCTTCCCTTTTATCTCTGGTGATGCATGCTAGGTAGAAAGCAAGAAACAATAAGGGGTGCCCATGACTAATGGAACCCCAGGAGTGTACATGGAATGTACTAATGGAATCCCAGGAGGGACACATTGGTGTAGGTGGGAACAGTCCTGGGATAATCTACTCTGATCAGCATCTTCTAGAGGAGACATACACTGGGCATGGGGAACCCGTATGGGTCCCCTCTTGCAGTCAAATTCAGGGGTTCATGTCAGTCCATTAGCCTCAGGACTATCCTGGTTTGCCATAGAGCAACCTGGTCCCCTCCATTTCCACTAGAGGGAAAGGAGAGGAAAACATGTCTTGGAATTATCCAGGTCATGCTTAAGTCTACATTGGCTGATGTGGGCAGAAACAAGAACAAACAGAAAAATATGACATTTATAGAGAATAGTGGATAAAGGGTTTGACTTGGCATCAGGAAGGCCTGATGCTTAGTAGTTGTGTGACCCTGGACAAGTCACTTACCCTCTGTCTGCCTCAGTTTCCCCAACTGTAAAATGGGGGTAATACTAGCACCTACCTCCCAGGATTGTTGTGGGGATCAAATGAGATAATTATAAAGAACTTAGCACAGTGCCTGGTACATAGTAGGTGCTACATAAATGTCAGCTGTTATTTACTTTTTTAAAAAAAATCAGCTATTATTATTAGTACTAGCATGGAATAATGAATAGAGTGCTGGCCTTGGAGTCACGAAGTCTTGGGTTTGAATCCTGTCTTAGGCACTTGTGTAACTAAGTGTGAGAAACGTCTCCCCTCGTAACTTCAGTCGCCTCATTTGTAAAGGACAATAAGGCTGAGAAAGTACATTGCAAACTTTAAAATACTATAAAAACATGATGTATTATTATTGCTACATAAGTAACATAAAAGTTGAGTGATTATAAAACCTTGTGAGGCAAAAAAAGCTTGTGGGGAAGCCCTACACAGAAAAGCAGAGAAAGTACTGTTATTTTTCCGCAATACTGAACATTAACCAGGCATTTCTGACTGATATTTACATTAGCTGACTAATGTTGACATTAGACAGAGTGTGGAATGTAACCCCAATGAGAATCTTCCCTATTCGTGTAATACTTCCCTCATAACAGCCCCGAGAGGTTAAGTGATGCTTGTATTAATTATTCCCACTTTGCAAAGGAGAAATGTGAAAGCTAGTAAGATAAGATAATCTGTCCAAGGTCCCACAGACAGTGAGCAGTGGAATCAAGAATGATTCCAAGCTCCATATTCCTTCCACTATGCTGCCTCTGACTATAGTCAGACTACAGAACCATATCTTTCAATGACAATCATCCTAGAGAGAAAATTCTGTTGATTCAAGTAAGTCACTGGCATATTTAAAGAAACAGTTTGAGTTAACTCTTGTTTCAAGGGACTGTCATGCTGGTTGGTCTGGTCATGTATAAACATGGCCCCCAATTTAGGAACCATCATGGAACAAAAAGACCATTGGATTAGGAATCAGAATACTTGAGTTTAATTTCAGGCTCTATTCCTTTCTAGCCTTGTGACCTTGGGCAAGTCATTTTCTTCTGTAAAAAAAAACAACAAGGGAGGCTAGATTTGTTCATTTCTAAGTTCTCTTCCAACTCTAAAATGAATTGAATAAAGATGTAGAAAACTATTGTGGGCATTTCAACCAAACAACTAAAAATGGCTGCCCTTCTTCACGAGATTTTGTATTACTCACTCTGGGCACCCCTGACAGAGAACTTGTGGGAAAGCCCTATGTAGAAAGGCAGAAAGCAAGAGCCTGGAGAATAAAATTACAGATCAGTATAATCAGGGAGTAAAGAGGCCCCAGAGAAACATAAACAAGGACTTCAAAAGAAATCAATTGCCATGTTCTTCTCTCCGAGGGGAGGGCAGACCATTGGTGAGAATGAATCACGATTGCTGGCCTGGAAAAAGGCAAGCCAGGCACAGAGACTTCTTAGCACGCTGAGATTTTGGTAAAGACACCTTTGCTCACACTGCCTGAGATAATGCACTCTAAGCAATTTCATTTAGAGGAGATCCCACTTCTTTCATGCCACTGAGATCCCCAGAAAGACATGGGACCTGAAGAAGGAATGAATTTCCTCTCTCAACAATTGATTCAATCAGAACGAGTGTTTATTAAGCACTTACTACATGCTAGATGCTAAAGATAAAAAAAAAGGCAAAAATAAGCTCTTTCTAGGATCACACAGCCAATAAGTGACCTCTGTGGGATTTGAACACACATTTTCTGACTCCAAGCTCAGCGCCCAATCCCCTATGTCACATTGCCTCTTTAAAAAAAGTAACAAAAACATACATAGCTATTTTTCTTTAATGCTTCTCCCTACCTTCCCAATAGAAACCTCCTTTTTATCAAAGAAATGCAGTCAAGAAAAAAAAATCAACCCACTGGCCCTGTTTGAACACATATACCTCATTCCCCACGTGTGGTCCACCACTTTCCTGAGGGTAGCATGTTTTCTTGTTGATTCTCCTAACATTCTCCCTGCTATTGAGCTGCCTGTCTTAATTTACCTGTACACATCCCAATATGAAAATCCGGGTATATTAGGGTTAGCAGTCTCAAGAATGAGTGTGCCCAGCAGAAATGACAGTGAAGCTGACTTAATGGGATACTTACCTATGTAGCTCATGACAAACCCTTGGCCCTTTCCAAAGATGAGGCCAGCAGGATCTGAGTGGAACTGGATGGTGAGGTCTGGGCTAGAGGAGTAGAGCTTCTGAGGTCCACTATTGCCCAGGTACTGCCCGAGGATATGGGACATGACCTCATCCCCATCGTAGATGGTCAGGATGTCACTGTTGCTCAGGTTTAAGCTGGGAAGGCAAAAGGACATGGGATGTGTGTGTGTTGGTGTGAATGGAAAGCAGTCTCAAGTAACGACGCAGTCATTTTAGAAACCATTTATTAAACACCCATTACGTACAAGGCTAAACACAATGTTGGACCTTGAAGAATTTGCAGGTTAGCAGGGGACCTAAGATGAACCTATTATCTAGAACATTACCTAGAACACATTACCTAGAATGACAATGATAATAACAATAGCTAGCATTCATACGGTATTTAAGATTTGCAAAGTACTTAACATGTTATCTCATTTGATCCTCACAACAACCCTAGAAGGTAGGTGTTATTATTATCCCCATTTTGCTGATGAGGAAACCGAAGCAGACAGAAGTGAAATGACTTGTCCAAGGTCATACAGCTAGTAAGTGTCTGAAACAGGATATGAGCTTGGGTTTCCTCATTCCAAGTCTGTTGCACCACTTAGCAGGATATGATAATTTTCTATAAGAGTCACACACAAGCTTGGGGCTGGATTCAATCCATCAATCAGTCAACAAAGTAATTTTCAAGAGACTACTATGTGTCAGCTTCTGTCTCAGGTACTGGCAACACAATTGGAGTTTATGTTCTAAGGGTCTTCGGTGCTAGCTGAGCTAATTTTACCTGGGAGCAGGGTTACCTGGGCTCTGCCACTGATTCATTGGGTTTGCCTCAGACAAGTCCCATAACCTTAATAGTGTGGGAGAAGGCTGGAGGGCACCAATATCACTTGAAGGGACATACACATCACTGAATCTAGGCTCCACATTTTGCAGAAACCGAGGCCCACAGAAAGGAAGAGACTTGATCAAATCTACCCAATGAATTATCAGCACAGTCAAAACTTGAATTCATGTCTCTCTTAACTTGAAGTTCAAGGCTCTTCTATTATATAATTATTGTCATCATCACCACCACCACCATCATCATTGTGACATTTCTATAGTGCAAAGAGCTTTATATAGTGCTCATTTGATTCTCAAAGCAATCTTGTGAGGTGGAGCTATTAATAAAATTAATCAATAAAATGAATATTAATTAAATAACACTTTACAGATCAGTAAACTGAGGGTCAGATAAGATATCTGCCCATGGTCATACAACCAATAATTTCCTAAACAAGGTCTTTCTGACTCTAAGACCAACCCTTAGTCTTGGCTAGGGTGATTAACTAATATTGTTGACAGAAGAAGACAAACTTCTGATGACCTTGGGAAATTGGAGAATTTGGTAGTAATGGAAAGTATGACATATGAGACTTGTATTAAATATGGAATTAAATTATTCAGGGATTTAAAGGAAACTCTACAAATGTAAGATTGAGGAGGGCATTAACTGTGCCGAGAATGTCTAAATAACCTGGAGATCACAGTGGACCACAAAGCTAAAACTGGAAAGAGCAATGACTTTTAGCTCCTTCATAAAACCTGAGTTCAAATCCTAGTTTTGTGACCTTGGCCAAGTCACTTCCTTTTTTTGGGACTCAGTTTCCTCATATGTAAAAGGAACTGTAAGGTCCCTTGCAGTTCTAAATCTCTGATCCAAAGTTCTATATGTGGAATGGCGAGAACATCAGTTTGACTGAAACAGACTGTTCAAGGTAGAGGAGCCCGGAATCAGGCTGGATGCAGACAGTGAATGACTTCCACTGATAAACAGAGGAATTCATATTTTATCCTGGAGGCACAAGGGAGCCATTGAGACTTCTTGAGCTGGTGAGTGACATGGTCACACTTGCTAATGTTGGAAGTGTCCTTTGGTTGCTACTGGCCTGTCTCAATGAAGCATCGCTAATTACCTGGTGACAGCTACCATAGGAAGGAGGAATAGGAAGGAATCATTAAAAGGCCTTCACCAAAGTCTCTGAAACCCAACTCCTTTTGAAATGATAGGAACAGTTTTATGTAGTTAGTTACACCTGCTCTTTCACTGGATATGAAATCAGGAATACTGAATTTGAGCCCAGGCTCAATCACTGACCAGCCATGTAACCCTAGGCAAGTCACTATACCTTTATCTGCCTCAGTTTCCTCAACTGTAAAATGAGGATAATAATAGTTCCTACCTCCCAGGGTTGTTATGAGGATAAAATGAGATAATATTTGCACAATTTCTAGTGCAAAATGCTTTTCCTTCCTTCCTGACATGACTTCTCCATCCAGTCCTAATCAAATCTGCCCTCTAGTATTTTCCATTCATTTCAACAAATCAAGCTCACCTGCTTTCCCATTTTCTGAGACATTCCCTGGAAATTATCTCATGCCAGACATTAGCAGAAAGTAAACCTCTATCCCCTGGCCAATCCCCTCTGCTGTTCCTTCTCCCAGACAGCACACAGGTTAGCTCTGCTCAAAGTCAGAGGTATTATCTGGACACACTGCACCAAATGAACTTAGGTGGGGGAGGGAAAGATATGAGATCTGGGAGTAAGAAGACCTCTGGGTGCCATCAACCTGCTGTTTGATCTTGAGAAACTCGTTTCCTTATTCTGAGACTCAGTTTCCTCATCTTGAAAATGAAGGAGTTGGAGGACATGGTCTCTAAGGTTCATCCCAGTTCTGACATTTTCTTTTCTAGGGACCCTCCAACCTCTAACACTCCATGTTGTCACTAATACTGTCTTCTTCCAAGGCCCCTTCTGATTCTGATATTTATGTTCTATATTCTAATGTCCTTCCACCTGTGACACACTGTTCTATGAGCCTTTCCAGCTCCACCATTCCATGCTTGAAGTTCTCCTAGTTCTGACAATCTCTATCCTAAGACTCCTTCCCCCATGCAATAGACTCTTAATTGTATGATCTAAGATTTTCAGATTGTTGACAAACACACACATACAGAGTTTCAATTACTTAGATTATACAATACATACTCCTGGGCCCCATGGAATAAAATATAACAATCACTATCATACTCTCAATTTTCCACATTTGTATAATCTGCAGCAAATTTTTCCTCCTCTATTGTCTTCAACTCTATACCTCTGTGTGACCTTGGGCAAGTCACGTCATATCTCTTGGCCTCAACTTTCTTTCCTGAAAAATGAGAGAGTTGTACTAAGTGACTTCTACTGCTCCTCCCAGCTTCAAATTTATGATCCTAAGTTAGAAATTTGGGCCAGTTGGGTGGCACAGTAGATGGAGCACCGGCCCTGGATTCAGGAGGACCTGAGTTCAAATCTGGCCTCAGACACATAACACTAGCTGTGTGACCTTAGGCAAGTCACTTAACCTTATTGCCTAGTCAAAAAATTGTCCTAAGTTAGAAATTCATAAAGACAAACCAAGCACTCAAGGGTCAGTGGACTTTCAATGACCTCAGACTGCCTTGAACTAATCCTGTTGGGGGTAGAACTAAGCAGCACATTTTGGAAAGACTCACCATGAAAAGAGCCCTTACATTTCTCCCTTGGTTTTTAAATAGTTTTTAAAAATCAGGACAAAATGTAGGAATTGGGTTGGATGAAAAAAAGTTAAGAAATTAAAAATTCAAATCCTGCAAGGACAGCCTTGTCCCTCCTTACCCTTCCACCTGCTACCCCAACCACACCTGCCATGTTCTATGAGCCCATTTCTTTGACCTGGGCCAAACCCAATAAATCAGTCAGCCAATAAGCATTTATTAACCCTTTGCTGTGTGCCTGAAACTGTGCCAAGCGCTGGAACCCAAGATAACTGTGTGCACAGGAATGGTATTTCTTTCTTCTGCCAGCAGAGGGCACTGTTCTCCCAGTTATTTTAGACTCAGTTCCTGCCTTATCTTCCATTCCCTCATCTCAACCCTACAAACACTTCCCTGATTCTGAAGGGGAAAGTGCCGTCATTATTCCCTTCCACCCTCCCTGCCTCCTGCTCCACTAGTTAGCGAAAGGAAAGGCTTTAGGAAGCTCAGAAGAGAATTAGGATCAGAGATTTGGAGCTGGAAGGGACCTCAGAGGTCACCCTGGTGAACCTCCCTAGTTTTACAGATGAGGAAACTGAGGCCCAGAGAAATGAAGTACCTTGTTGAAGGCCTCATATGGCAGTAAATCACCAGAGTGAATCCAGGTATTCCAGTTCCTAAACAATTTTTTCCTACCTTCCGTAGATCTGGTCTAACAATCCCTTCATGGAGACACTTTAACCACAGAGAGATAGATCTGGAAAGGGTCTTAGAGATGGGCCAGTCCAGGGGTTCCTTCTCTGTCTTTGGTGGGTTTGTAAGTCTGGTGAAGCCTGGTGACTCCTTAGAATAGTATTTTAAATGTATACAATAAAATAGAGAGGTTTATGAAGTAAATAAATTATTAAGAAATAAAGATGTGATTCCCCCCACCCCATATCAAATATCAGATCCCCTGAAATCTATCCATGTACCTTGGGCTAAAAACTCCTGGGCTTGTTGAACCCTTTTGCTTTATAGATTAGGAGACTGAGGCCAAGAGAAGAAAGAGATATGCTCAGTTTCACCCAAAAAGTTAATGCCTCAGTATCCTGATTCTTCAATAGAAGAATCTTTCTTTAAAGAAATTACTTCAGGCTATTTACTGGAAGGTCAAATACTGAAGCTGAAGCTTAAATACTTTTGGGCACATAATGAGGAGATGGAACTCACTGGAAAAGACCCTGATGTTGGGAAAGATTGAAGGCAAAAGGAGAAGGGGATGGCAGAGGATGAGAAGGATAGATAGCGTCGTAGAAGCAATGAACATGAACTTGGACAGACTTTGAGAGATAGAGGTAGACACAGGCCTGAGGTGCTAGGGTCAACAGGGTCACAAAAAGTGGGATGTGACTGAAGGCTGAAAATAAATCCTGATTCTGAAGCCAACTTCCTTTCTCTCATTCAGCACTGGCCACCTTCCCTAATAAAGACCAGGCTGAAACGATTTCACTTCAAACCTGTTACCTTATGTCAGCACAGATTAAATTATAATTTAATGTTTTTAAAATAGTAACCAAGCATTACAAGAAAATGAGATGTAA